CTAATTGTCCCATGAAGGGTTCAGATCCCTCACTGCTATTTGCTCCAATCTCACACATTCTTTGAAATGATTATTATTAGTAATTGCTTTCTTTAAAGATAATCAACCTAAGAAACTAAACTCCATATTTTTAGTTGTTTCTTTTCTCTTCAACAATTCCCAAAGACTCTTTCTAGCCTAAATGTTGAGTCTTTGGAGGATGTACTTCTGTTGATAATTTTCTGTAGTTCTATCGATGTAGATACACACACATACATATCAAAGCATTAGTGGGATATTTATTTAATAGAGTTTAATTATACATCAGTTATTACTGGCCAAGTACTATGTATTTTTTCTCTTTAACTTTCATAGGCCCTTGTTCTATGCTATTTTCTGGAGACAAATGTAAAGCAGTATAATATGGTTGACAAAAATGTGATTGAAATTGGAGCTGGAACAGGGCTTATTTCCATTGTGGCAAGTTTACTAGGTAAGTAGGTATTTTTTATTATTTATTTATTTATTTTGCTGCAAAAAGCTTTATTGTTTCATTTGGTCCGATGCACGGGAGAGGGCTTCAGGGTGGTCAAAAGAATGGATAGTAATTTCACGGAGAGGCTCGGGTAAAAGCCAGACACCAGGGGAATGCAGAGGGGCCCCTCAAAGGCCCCTGGGCTCCAAAGGCTCCTAGTCGTGCTTGAGGGTGAGCCTTTCTAAGGGCTACTCGCCCAGCCCAGTCTTTGGGCCAGCTGTTAGTCAGGTGTTGCCCATCTTCTTGATGAATTTCACCTCCTCATCCAGGAAGTGGTTCTCCAGGAAGTCACAGAGCTGAGGGTCTGCATGGGTAGAACCCAAGGCATGCAGCTCTAAAAGGGCCTGGTCAGGTTCCTCTCCAAGGTCAGGGCAGCTTCCATGGCATCCTGAATTTTGCCCCACTCATCTTGGGAAGGCTTCAGCACGTCCTGGAAGAGAATGCGGCCGCCACGCTTGTTTTGCAACTTTAAGAGACAATCAGTGCTCTTTCGCTTCTTCTCTGCCAAATCGCGCCCTCTGCCTCAAGAGCCACATCTTCCAGGTTGACATAGAAGCCAGAGAGAGGTATGTGTAGGAGGCCCACAGATACAGGTTGGCCAGGCAGTTGACTGCAGCCTCCACCTCAGTGGAATAGTTCTAACAAATTTGGCAGCTCACAGTTGTTCAGCAATAAGGAGTTAAGGTAGGAAAAAAAACTGGTGTGTTGGCTGGTCCTGGAGGTGGTTCTGAGGGTGGTGACTGGATAAGATGCAGGAGAGTGGCTGGAGGCTGGAGAAGGGGCATCCCTGTTTCTGTTCTGTCCAAAAACCATTGAAGCGAGAGACAGATCCAGGACTGCCAAGGGCACTGCCTAGGACTAGGTATTTTTGATTGAATAATGTTTAAAGAATTTAATGATCAAATATCATTATCTGCTTTAACTATCCAATGTACTATGACCTTGGCCTATTTTTAATTCCTTAATTGTTTGAATGAGCTTCATCAAGACACTACAAATTTTAAAGTCACCTTACTGGCTTCTTTTAGAATTTTCTGTGAAGTTGTATTAATTCTTCTCAGGGAATGCTAAGTCACAAATGTATTCTAATTTTGAGGTGCACTTAAGCATCCTGACTGGCTGCTAGAGGAGATGCATGAAATACTAAGTATAGGCAAAATCGACTCCTGCTGACTCTCTTTATCTTTTTTTTTTTTAAATATATTTTATTGATTTTTTACAGAGAGGAAGGGAGAGAGATAGAGAGTTAGAAACATCGATGAGAGAGAAACATCGATCAGCTGCCTCCTGCACATCTCCTACTGGGGATGTGCCCACAACCCAGGTACATGCCCCTGACCGGAATTGAACCTGGGACCTTTCAGTCCGCAAGCCGACGCTCTATCCACTGAGCCAAACCGGTTTCGGCAACTCTCTTTATCTTTATCTAAATTTTAGCCCATTTTAATGTTTCCATGTAGCCATATATTTCTTTTGGGTTTTGCAATCCTCTGCTTTTATGAAAAAGCCCTGTTGGAATGGAGAAGGAATATTAGAAATCATGTCCGCTTTTAATTTTATGTATTGCCCTTGGCTTCATTTTCGCAGTCAGTTTCATTCTTCTTTTGCAACCTCTTGTTCTCTCACCAGAATCTTATTTTCCAGTTAAATGTGTGATGGTCTCTATGCATGCTTCAGCCTGCTCTAGTTAAATCTTTTTGTTGTTGTTGTTACAGATTGATTGTTTGATTTAGCTGCCTTTTCTGATACGTGCTACCCAAATCTTGATTTCCTTGATCTTCAGAAGTGCACACTCGCCACTCTAAAATCTTGAATCTTGAGAAGAACTCAAGATTTAGCAATTTATAACTTTCTAAAAACTGGGAAAATATAGGACCCTTGAAGTCCTCCTCAAGTATATATAATTTCTCTGTCCTGATATTGCTTTCCAAAGTCATCATTCCATTTTGTATGGATAGAGTCTAAGGCACTATTGAAGGTTTCCCTATCTAGGAGCAGAATTTGTGTTTGGTCAGCCATTTGTTTCATTAAAAAGAATTATCCTTCCAGTATGCTTGTCTATCTAGACAAAAATATCAAAAGATTGAAGCTTTCTTTTTTTTAATATATTTTATTGATTTTTTACAGAGAGGAAGGGAGAGAGATAGTCAGAAACATCAATGAGAGAGAAACATCAATCAGCTGCCTCCTGCACATCTCCCACTGGGGATGTGCCCGCAACCCAGGTACATGCCCTTGACCGGAATCGACCCTGGGACCCTTCAGTCCGCAGGCTGATGCTCTATCCACTGAGCCAAACCGGTTTTGGCAAGATTGAAGCTTTCTTTAGTCAGTATTCAAAAAGTGGTGGTATTCACTTCTCTAGACATGATGATATTAATAGTTAGATATTTTACACTCACTGTAAGGAAGGGTGACTTCCTTTTCTTGGGGTTTAAAAATATTTGTAGAAAATGACAGAGCACCCACATTATAGTTGAAGATTCATATTTCTGTGAATATTAATCAATGATGTGCACATTTCCCTCCCATTTTAGTATTTTACACAAAATACAACTAATGGCCAGAGGAGCTTGCCACTGGGACAAAAGAATGGATTCTAAACTGGTCTAAACTGGTCTGGGCTGAACTAGACTTCTCTTCCAGTTCTGCTTTCCCATTGCTTACTGCGTCTGTTCCTGTCTGATGATGTGGAATTGACCAATCCTAGATTTATTTACACATTATTTTCAGGCTCTGCTGCTGCTCAAAGTTTACTTTAAGGGCCAAATTTTATTGATTACTGGACCTTCCAATTTCCTCCTGGAAATGACCACCAGTATTCACTTTTAACTAGGAAATGGTTTATGTTTTCTTCATCTGAGCATTCTGTTCTGCATCTGTGATCTTTGGCTTCATGAACACTATATGCAGCTTGACTTAAAATTAGGTCAAGCTGAAAATTTGGGCATAAACATGAATGTCATGATACTGTCCATGTAATGCCATTGAAAAGTCTTTCCTCCCCCCATTTCTCATATTTTACTACTTGCTATTCAATGATAGGATGCCCAATGTTGTATACACACTTGTTCAGTCTCACAGGACTGGGGCTCGGAATTCTTTTAGGGAAGAAACTGGTCATCTTTTAACAATGACTTTTGATTGTTCCAGCAAGGATACCAAATCTTTTTAATTTCCTTTTCTCTTGATTAGTTTTTCCGAGCATTTAGTAGATAAATAGAAAATAACAGCAGCAACAACAAAACAAAGAAGAAAACATTGGAACGGAAAAATGGAGTGCAAAAGTACCATGGGAATCGAATTTTGTTAAGGGGAGGAATAAAACTGCCCTAGTATCATTTTTGAAAGGGATTTATCTGCTGTGTGAACTGACCATTTTTTTCCTTGGGACTAGCAGTTGTGCAGAATTGCAATATGCATGTAGGTTTGAAGCTGGATTGTTTACTTTATCCCATGAGGGTTACTTTTCTACTGCCCTTTGCTTCACAGGTGCACATGTGACTGCCACAGATTTACCTGAATTACTTGGAAATCTGCAGTATAATATATCCCGAAACACCAAAATGAAATGTAAGCATTTGCCTCAGGTTAAAGAACTCTCCTGGGGCATAGCTTTAGACAAGAACTTCCCCAGGTCTTCCAACAATTTTGATTATATCCTGGCGGCTGATGTTGTCTATGCTCATCCTTTCCTGGAAGAACTCCTCATTACCTTTGACCATCTGTGCAAAGAAGCTACCATCATCCTCTGGGTCATGAAATTTAGGTTAGAGAAAGAAAATAAATTTGTAGATAGATTTAAGGAGTTGTTTGACCTAGAGGAGATTTCTAGTTTCCCTAGCTTGAATATTAAGCTGTATAAAGCTATGAAGAAAAATCGAAGGAGTGCATGATATCCTCAAAGGAGGACTTGGAAAGCAAAGGCAATTTCTAGTAGATGATGACTTTAAAGAAGACCCGGATAAGATGATGCAGCACTGACTTTCTCAAGGGGCAACACATGTGCGCGTGCGTGCACACACATGTGCACACACACACACACTTGCTATATCCAAGATAGCAATTTTCCAATTTATAGCATGTGGGTTTGGAGGATGGCAAAGCCATACTATGTGGTTAGGACATTGGTTAGGACAGTGTCTGCTTTTTTTAATTCCTACTTCCATAGAACCCTTTATTATTATGATCATTGTAATAAATAGTGCAGTTATTGTTATTTTTAATGGATAACTGTAGAATGGTGGTTTTCAATAATGATATCTCAAAAAAACTTACATTATTCTCTCGTTAAAAGTAAAGAAATAAACTATAGTGGGATATGCAAATAAATCTGAATGGTAATAAATATACCATTACCATAATATAATGGTAAATGTTAGATTATTGTGGTTTTCGTTAGTGCCAGCCTATAGGCAGTCTATCATCTCTGGTTGGCAGGGTGGGCCTTCAGCACAACCTCTGAAATCAATCAAGCTTGTGGATTTGAGGTTATAGGCAAGGACATTTCACTCTGGTAAATGACAAATGAATGGAAGCAAACATAAAACAGTTGGGATTTTGGAGGAGTTATTGCTTTATTTTTAAGCCAAGTACAGTTATTTTTCTTTTATCACAAAAATAGAAATACATATAAAAACTTTGGATTGAAAATACACATAAAAAGATATAGGCTCTAATCTCAAATAACCAGACAAATGGCTGTTTAAAGTTTAAAGCTCTTCTGATGAACATATAGATCTAGATATTTGAAATCCTATGTGATTTTTTTTTTCACATGGGCCTTAAGAGATTAGAAGTCTGAAGTAATTAAAGTCAGTGAAAGGAGAGCAAAAAATTAGAATTTTGTTCCATGTAACAAGAGTGCATTGGTAACTACTCTTTAGTGTCCCCAGGAATGTTTGCTAGGCTACCACAGTGCCCTTGGGTGATACTTGCTCTCCTAAACCCAGCTCTTTTTGCTTTGCTGGAAGTTCTCAGTTCACTCAGGGTGAGTAGAGCTAAAAGGATTATTTCCTAGGACCCTGATCTGTAAGCCAGATGCAAGTATGTTGCCAGTGGATTCTTTGATATGTACAGTTCATAGGGCCATTTCTCAGTAACTCCCAATATTTAAATAGTTTTCACAGCCTGTTGCATGCATAATCCTTTAATCCTCACAACCATTCTAAGAAGTGTAAGTAATGTCATTATCCCTACTTCACAGATAAAGAAACTGAGGCTGGGAGCTGTGAAGCCACTTGCCCCAGGCTATGCAGCTGCAGAGGGGCAGTGATGGGGCTCTCACGCCCTGGCTTGCTTGAGCACAGAGCCTGTGTTGTCTTACTTCCTGCCTTTGTGTATAAAAACCAGTAATTTTTACTCTTTTTTAAAATGAGTAATTTCCTCAAAATGAAATACCCAGAAAGGTAAGCAAATACATTAGGAGAGGATGAGAACGGTTCCTCCTTAAATCTTTATCTCTTTTCTGGCTTTAAGCGGATGGTCAGGGTAGTCCCGTTTGGAAGGTGACATTTCAGCAAAGCTGGAAATTGGTGAGAAAAGTAGCAGTGTAGATACCTATAGAAGTGTGTAGAGGGAGCTGGATTGTGTCAGCTCTCTGCTGCAGTCTGGGTTCTCTGGAAGAAGACCCAGAGGTAGAATTTGATGTGCAGGACATTTATTAGAGGCTGCCTTTGGGATCAAGACCTGTGGGAAGGAGCAGAAGCATGTAGGACAAAAGTAGAGGTCAAGCTACACTGCTGGCCCAACTACAGCCACAGCTGACCTCCACATGGAATGCTGGACCCAGAGTGGCCTTTCAGAGGTGTTCCAGATTGGGTTGAAATGTCTGGGCCTTGATAGCCCCTTGTCATTCAGTCACTGCTGCCCTGAGAAGGCTCTGTGAACTTGGGTAAGGTGACTCTCTTCAGCAGACCTTGACAGCTGCAGACCATCTGCCATCAGCACTTCTAGCAGCAAGGTGATAAGTCATTCTGCAGGGTATCTGGGCAGTACATCACAGTGTTCACCACAGCCTTTAAGGTCATTGAAAGAACTTTGGCTTTTCTTCTGGTGCCAAAGGAACACTGAATGCTTTGGAGTAGAGGAGTGAAAGCATATCATTGCATGTAAGGACCATTTCAAGAACATTTAGGAAGGGGCAAAGAGACCTGTTAGGAGGCGGTGGCAGCCATCCAGGCAAGAGGAGATGGCAATCTGCAGCAGGGAATGTGCCATGGAAGTGGTGAAAATGGTCAGGTTTATTACTTTTTAAAAAAATATATTTTATTGATTTTTTACAGAGAGGAAGGGATAGGGATAGAGAGTTAGAAACATTGATCAGCTGCCTCCTGCACACCCCCCACTGGGGATGTACCGGCAACCAAGGTACATGGCCTTGACCGGAATCGAACCTGGGACCCTTTAGTCTGCAGGCTGAGGCTCTATCCACTGAGCCAAACCAGTTAGGGCTGAAAATGGTCAGGTTTAGATGTGTTTGGAAGCTAGAGCCAATAGAACTTCCCATCATATTGAATATGTGTGTGAGGAGAGAGAGGAGTCAAGGCTGAACCTGAGGTGTTTGGTCCAAGCTACTGGGCATGAAATTGGAGGCATCAACTTAGAAATGGTGTGCAAAGCCCATTCAGGGAGCAAGAGTGAAGAAAGCAAGGACTGATTCCTGAGATTGGGCAACATTAAATATTAGACATAACTGTATTCGAGATTTTTTTTCAAGATTCTGCCCAGACCCCAAAAAAGGTACATTAGTATCTGTTAAATCTGAGATATGTATTTTCTACCACGGTGATTTTGAACTGGTCCCTAGAGGTCCAAGATCCCTCAAAGTTGCCTC